GCTTAAGGCTTAGGGAAGACAGCTCGTGGGAAAATCTCGAGTGTTGCTTTAGAAGAAGAGAGGCAGAAGGAGAGAGTTGGGGGGGGGGGGACGACAGCGGAAAAGTGCATCCGGTGGACGGCGGCCCCGCTCCCCTGGTGTTTTGTGAGGGGAAGACGCTGCATAATGTTTATTGAGCGAGGGACAGTGTTTTTCCATTGTTGTGCCGGACCACTATTTGCGCTGCGTTTGTTAAGCAATCCATAAAGGAGTCGCAACATTTGTCTCACTGTCAAAGACTTGGTCTGCCCCTGTGAACCACACACACACACACACACACACACACACACACACACACACACACACACACACACACACACACACACACACACACACACACACACACACACACACACACACACACACACACACACACACACACACACACACACACACACACACACACACACACACACACACACACACACACACACACACACACACACACACACACACACACACACACACACACACACACACACACACACACACACATTCTCTCACATAAATGACAACACACAAATACTCTCACACACACTCCCAGCTGGCCTCTTTCTTTCGTCCCGCACTTTGAAACTCTCCCACCTCTCAGCCCAAATGGTCTCCTACTTTTTCCTCTCCAACACCCCCCCCCCATGTCTCCCTCTCTCTCTCCCACTCTATCTTCTCTCTGCCTCCCTCACTACCTGGAAAGACAGAGCTTTCATTGTAGCGCACTGGGAGAGGGCTCCGAGCCTCCAACACACTGTCTCCTATTGTGGATTGGAAGGATGGCAAATGTGTGTGTGTGTGTGTGTGTGTGTGTGTGTGTGTGTGTGTGTGTGTGTGTGTGTGAGAGTGAGTGAGTGAGAGAAAGAGAGAGAGAAAGAGGGGGAGCAATAGAGTGGGATTAGTGAAGAACAACAGAAACAAGAAGAGATGGAGAGAGAAAGAGGTATGTGAAGTGTTAAATCCTGGATAAAAACACACACAGACGTTTTCCTGCTCTGTTGACAATGCAATACCTTGACCTGACCTTTGACCCCTTCCCCATGACCCCATGTCATATGATCAGTCTCTAGTTAGCCTGCAGTACCTCCGTGTGTCTGTCTGTGTTTACCACACACGCACACACATGTTCTTCTAAGACTCCATCACTCTCTCCCGTTTACCCCCGGTCCATAAACAACAACAACAACAACAACAAATGCGGCCAAATAGTCCCCCTCCCTTTCTTCTATTGGCTATCAGAGAGGGTCAGCTGATCGCACCGGGGTGGGAGAAAAGGGGGAGGGTGGGAGTGTGCTGAGAGAAGGGAGGAAGTGGGGGAGGAGGGGGGTGGGGGGGAGCTTTAGCATTCTCCTCTGGTATTTTTCTGTCTGTCGTTCCTTTCTTTCCTTTTCTTTCTTTTTGCCCCCCTCTCGCTCCTTGGATGGAGACACGGTTATCAAGGCTCTCTGGGGACAGACAATATGGCCCAGACAATGGCCTCCAGTCCGAGGAGGTGGTGGGAGAGAGAGGGGGGAGAGAGTGAGGGGGAGAGAGAGGGAGGCCGGGACAGGGCCACAGGGGAAGAGAGGGGCAGAATGGCGCATTAGTTTGCAGAGCACGGACACTCTACTCAATTACTCCAGTCGCTCTTTCTCTCTCTTTCGCGGACACACACATTCTCTCTTTTTGCGAACACACACACACACACACCACACACCACTTTAATTTAAATGAAGAACAGAGAAACACTGGAAGCCGCACTGCTCACTTAAATTAGAAATACGTTTTTATCACAAGTCACCAGATTTTTCCTCTTAAACTGACCATAACTCTAAAATGAACAATCTATAATAACTCAAATAAGTAGGAATAAACAGCAGTGGTAGAAACTTAGTTAAAGTTGCAAACACACGTCAAAAATAAAACAAATGTCAATTACAAGTCACCATCTTGAGGGAAAATTGTTACTTTTGTAAAACGATCTTCAGCACAATATTCTAAACAATAACACAAGTAAAAGTATGCCATTATTCACAAAATGCTGTACTTAAGGTGTTTTAATAACTGAATATTAATACGTGGGCAATAATGTGTACGCTGCATTTTGTGGAGACAATTTTTAACTACTTTGTATTTTGATGGGCAGTTAAATCTAAAATGATAAATCTTATTTTTATAGATTATTGAGAATAGATCAAGTTGATTTAGCAAATAATTATAGCTACATAATACAGGCAGTTGAAACAAATACATACTGAGGAGATGGACATTCTTAAGTAATGTATCTCAAAATCCAACTAAAGTACAGTAATTGACAACATGTAATTTACCTTCCACCGCTGAAAATAAATCTGATTTACCGATGGCAATTTAAAGAATACAGTTTGTCTTAATTAAATGAGGTAAAATCCTTCGGGTGGTGATGCCGCCTTGTTGCTGAGTGCGACGCAGTAATGTCAGATCTCATCTGAGTTTGTCCAGCCTAAACCGTTCTAAGTGTTGACACAACCACTGACACACACGCAAACACCCCAATAAACGGAGGGGACAAATGGAGGGGTGTGAAAATCCACATCGACAGAGACCTCTTCCTCTCCTCCCTCCTCCTAAACCCCCCAACATCCCCCTTATGCCTCCCCTCTTATTCACTCTCACTTTCCTGTAACCCTGTTTCTTCTTCTTTTCATCAGGGAGGAATGTGTCAGTTTGACTACATCGTGCCCTTCGTGTCTCCATCCTCGCTGCCACTCAAGCTCCTTCATATGTCCCTTTTCTGTTTCATTGCTTTGGCTTCTCTGCGTTTCTCCCTATGTGTATATTTCTGTTCTGTCTGCACGAACAGATGAGGCCGTGTAAGCGAAGGCAGTCTGTTTCCACTATTTTCAGCTTCCACTGGAAATGTTGATACACAGCCGAGCGCTCGGAGATCCAACAAATGTGTTCGAATCAAGACATCATTCAAATGTAAAATTAGAAAATAATATAAATTACAGTGGATTCTCGCTTTGTCGAAGCATGAAGTCGATTTTAAGCAGCTGAACAAGCGGAGATGAAAATATTTCAAGACTTTTGTGGGCTTAAATAAAAGGAGAATAAAAATGATCTCTTTGCAAGCCTTAGCGTAGCAGCAATTACAAAATAAAACTACATTTCAGGAGTGAATTCTAATCTCTAGAAGAACACATATTTCCTACAAACCAACTTCAAGAAACTCAGACAAAGTCTTCTCCGTCAAATCAAAACTCAAAGGGAATTTTTAACAACAAAATGATTTAAGAAGAAGAAGAAGAAGAAGAAAAAGGGAAAGAAGCGTTAAGACGAGAGAAAGAGGAAGTTGGATGAGAAGATGAAGTAGAAGCATGAGTGAAGGAGCGGACACTTACAGAGACGCAGGAACCGAGAGCATCGCGACCACCGAGCCTGGAGAGCACACACACTGGCAGCTCACACACACTTCGCTCCGCAGAGAGACTAGTGATCGACACACACACACACACACACAGGAAACACACACACACACTCACGGAATGGAAGATACCCCTCTCCTGCTCATACACATACATCCACGTACGAATGCATACACACACACATATACACACACTCTCGGCCACAGCCACAGTGATGGAGTGCATTACTGGAAAGCAAGACTTTTAAGCGCTCTCCTCCTAAGTCATTGTAATCCCTGCATTTATCTCCATACATTCTGCTTTTCTGTGTAATCCCTTAAATTTGTAATTCCTCCTAGCTGTTGTTATCTTTTTTTTCTCTCTCCTCAACCACTTTGCCGGATTGAATGGTTTATTAAAAACACATTTTTGCCTCATCTAAATGTGTTCTTAATTCAAGGGGGCCCCTGAAATCCCCCCCCCCTAACCCCTCCGACCCCAGTTTATCTCGGAACAAAGATTAGTTTCATCGGGGAAAAACAGAGCGCTACTTTAATGCAATAAAAGTCAAGCAGGGGAAGGGGAGAGGTGTGTGTTGTGTGTTAGTAATAAAACGCCGGGTATTATAACATAATCTGTCTCTCGCAGCATTAGCATCAAACAGCCATTATTCCACAGGCAAAAGCCACTTGTGTTGACAGTGTCGGGAAAGGGCAAGAGGCTTCGCACCTCTAAATGAAGCAGGCCCGCACAAACATCAGAGGGGCACAGTGAGATTAACATTAGCATAAGGCAAGAAGTCGAAAAAACAACAACACCATGCAGATTGACAATAGGATTACCGAGCGTTTGCATGTGTTGAATTTGGATTAAGTGGAAAAATTAATCATAAATAAGTATATATCAAAAGACGGGGCTGAGCAGGAGAGCAGCGTGTAAACATTTCACATTCGGATAGAACAAGTTATTAATTTACAAGTGTTTTAAATTATTTGGAAACAAAGTATGTATCTATATAATGTGGACTTGTTGATAGCTCCTTTATCTAAATAGGCTGTTACAGAAAGACACGTCCTAAAGCTGAGAAAGCAGAAGTTAATAAAGTTGTGGTGAGCAGTGGAGATGAGAGGAGGGGATCACACATTCTGACTTTGACACAAACATCTCTGTCTCTTTTTCACTCTTCCTCACTCTTCCTCATACAAACATACGCGCAGTTTTTTTTTATCAGTTTGTCCATGGAGGAATTGAACACAACTTCAGTAAGGAGTGACGGAGGAGGAAAAGAGGGACAGTTATGTTACTTCTGGGACACACTTGCACGGACACACACACTCTCCCAAAAGAAAAGGAGTCAATCATCAACTCTCCATTTACCATCAGTGACTGTCACACACACACACACACACACACACTCTCCAGTCTCAAACTCAGCCGACTCGCTGAGACTCTTCCCATGCTTTACTCACAGTCTTCCCTTCACACACACACTTTCTTCTCCTCTCCTCCCTGCCCTCTCTTATCTCTGCCCTTCTCCGTGCTGTCCCTGGTCTCTGTCATCTCAATGTTTGAGCGTGTGCGTGTGTGTGAGAAAGCGGCACGTACCTGTTACACTCCTGAGGTAGCTCAGGCTCAGTGAGCATGCTGGAGTGAGGGTCCGTCGCTCTCGTCAACAACAACATAAAACAGTCCCACAATGCTCAGATGAACAAGGTTAGTCTCCCCAAAACAAGACGGGATAGAAGTGATCCTTCAACCTCTCACACACACTGCTGATTCTCTCTCTCGCTCTCTCTCTCTCTCTGTGTTCCTCTCTGTCTCTCTACTCACACTTTCAGCCTTACACCCTCCCTCACTCTCTCTCTCTGCCTGCCTCTGTCCCTCCTCTTCTCCCTCCCTCGCTGTAAGCTGTGAGATCTAGGCTCAGCTCTTAAAGGGCCAGCAGCAGAGCCTCATTCTCTTTTTGCTCAGTGTGTGTGTGTCTGTGAGAGTGTGTGTGTGTGAGAGAGAGAGAGAGAGAGAGAAGGGGAGGGGCCATTTGACCATAGGGCTCATCACACATGAGCGCTGCCCCCTTCGTCAAGTCCATCTCTCCCTCTCTCTTGGTTTTCACTCACTCAGACAACGTTGACAGATCATGTAGACACACTTCAGGGTGATAAGACCAGCAAGCCCTCATGCACTCTATTATGCAACACAAAGCAAATTAATCAATATGAGATGGACTAAAGAGAATTATATTTAACAAGCTCTTTATGTCGTTCCTGTCTTTTCAATTTTCTCTGTCTTTAAACTTTTATACCACATGGCTAATTAAAAAAATGATCTTTCACACTTAATAACTGATTTTTTTTAAAGTTAAATCAAACAAATTAGATAAACTTGCTTTGGCATGAACCGACATAACACAACAGGAAAAGGAACGCTGGATACAAATAAAATAGGGCCCCTTTAAGATGTTAAATGTTTCAACAATATTGCCCCTTATTTTCGATGTGTCCTATTTAAAGTAAAGTACTTTAAAGGGGTGATGAGGGTACCTTATACTGTAAGTGAGCTGTACAATATAATCAGCAGCTGTGTGTGATTTAGGGATTGTGTGTACTTGCATTAACCCTACATTACAACACAGATAAACATTTAAAAGATAACGTTATCATATGACTGCGACTAATTCCATTACAGATACAACAGGTGATTCCAGTTGTTATTATTCTCCAAACTCTGCTTTACACTATTACTCTGTTCCAGTCTGACATGATGGAAACCTCTGTTAACAGTGATAGTCTACCTTATAGCTTTGATGGTGGGGACAAAGAGAAAAGAAGCTCAAAGTAATACTTTTTACTACATGTGGGGAATGCCTCGGACTCACCCGTGCTTAATTGGTTAACTTGTGTTGTTCCAGCCTTTTTACTGTCCCTTTGGTTCCACTATGTTAGTCAAGTGAAGCTGTTTTGTGCTATACATGTCATGCTTTTCACATGATTATCTTTACTAACAGAGTAAAGAAACGGAACAGTGGACATAAAACGAGCCTTGACACAAGATTAATATAAATTCTGAGCTTTCAGAGATTATATTTTCAGAGACAGAGAAAATGTCTTGCTAGTATTTCCAGGTTAAAACACATGTCTGCATTTCCCATGGTTGTACTATGGCTGCCCCATCTTAGTGGATAAGTCGAATAATTAAGATATAGTCTACGCCTTTTTCATGCTGAATGACTCGAAGAAACTTGTGAAAACGTCTCTGGTAAACACAAGCTTCAAAGTGGTGTTTATCTCTTTTCACTGGCCGGCTCTGGTGTGATTGGTCAAACGGTTAATGATGTCCCGCCCCTAAGCCTATCACGTACAATGTGTTGGATCGCTAGCCAATAGAAGCGGGAGTTTTATATAGTGATGTCACTATGTTATGGGAAGTAAACAAAGGAGTCCAATCGAGGCGTTTCAAACCTATATAACACTCTTAAGTAAGTCTTGAAAATCAATTCACTTTTCAACAAACAAATACCTAACCCATCTATACTGTAACTATCTAAAAATTCCTTCTTACCCTTCCTTCCCAGTACTATTATTTAAATACACTTGTAATACTTGAAGCCACATAGAATGAGTTTTAATGTGATTTAGTTTTGAGTGTTAATGCAATACAATGACAAGGTCGTGACGTGCAGGTACAATGCATACTCTACTTCCAGTCGAGTAACTTTTTCTACATTTTCATAGTACAGTATGACAAATACATTTAAATGTTTAGCAGACTACAATTCTCTTACATTTTTCCTTTGTTTTCGAGGCACGGCGAAGCAGACATTTGATTCTGGGACATGGAACAGTTAGGTTACAAGGAGACAGCTGAACACTTTCAACAGAACATACGCTGGGGCTCACATGCATGAATGAGCGCAAACACACTCACACACATTCATAAAACACACATATACAAAGTGACTGAAACCCTCACCAATCACGCACACCCATTGTATCCTCAGGTGTATGTACTCTACAGTGTGTGTGTGTGTGTGTGTGTGTGTGTGTGTGTGTGTGTGTGTGTGTGTGTGTGTGTGTGTGTGTGTGTGTGTGTGTGTGTGTGTGTGTGTGTGTGTGTGTGTGTGTGTGTGTGTGTGTGTGTGTGTGTGTGTGTGTGTACAAGCTGCTTCCAGCCCTTAGTGCTGTCAGTCACTATTAGGGGTGTGTGGTCTACGTGTCACACATACGGCCAATCCAGCTATTGTTCTGGAGAGCGCGGAGAAAAGCAGAGCTGACAGACTGCCACTTCTGTGATACTTTAACACACACACTCATACATTGACACACACACACACACACACAGAGGAAGAAAAGAGAGGAAGCGAGCCTCCTCACTGTACTTACTTAAGACAAGCATGCATCTACTGCACACACACACACACACACACACACACACACACCAATCTAACCATATATTAAGCGACTGTTGTTGAGCTTTCTACAACAAAACCTTCCTTAGCAAATGGACAATGATATTTTTTGTAGCACTTTAAGGACTTTTCCTCCATGTTAGCCCATAAAGTTCTTAAATTCGGAGCATCAGTCCAAAATGAGTAATGTGTACTGTAATATTTTAGCGCATGTCTAAGTGCCAGTTTTTAGTCCATGTATCTTACTCTCTCAGAAACACATTCACACAGAGCCAAACTCTGTTGACAAAGAGTTTGTATAACTTTGTATGTATACAGTATGTCGTGTATACGTATACACAGACGGGCAAAGCATTCATGCATGTCAGAGACCACCTCTGCTCTCCATAATAAAGCAGTATAAATATTTCGCTGCCAAAAACAATGAGTGACCTTAGGTTTTTTTTATTTTGATATAGCTAATCTAATTCATGGTCAAATGGAGAGAATACACTAGGAAGGATAAATCTAATCACATTCCCGAGCATCGATTGGAAACGGCATCTCTCCTTGACCCCGCAAACAGCTGCAAAACCAATGATAACCTCGTTTGTGCATTACAGAAAGTGAATTTCTGCATTATGCAGCTGACTCTGGTCAACACAACAGACCCCGGGCACAAACCCTGCCTTCTCCCGCCTGCAACAAAAAGCTGACAGAATGGGAATGGGCCTTGTGATTGTCATATTTTGAATAAATGTTTATGTCATTATCATTCACACAATAGGTATTGCATTAAGCGGCCTTCGGAGATGACTTTGCCATGAATTTAAGATGTATATTACTGACTTGACAATGGTTTATATAGTAGGCCTCTGAGGTGGAAGCCATCGCCTGTTTAGTTTAAAACATGCTGGCTGAGGAATATGAACGAACAAGGCCAACGAGTGTATTGTGTCAAGCATTTTAAATGCCTTCAATTATCAATAAAAAGACCTTGAGTAAAAAATAAAATAAATACACTTTTTTCACCTGGGCTTTAACAAAAAGGGCCTCAAGCTATACATAGATTCTAAATGGGGAGCTGTTTTGGTGGAGAAGAGGGAAGTGACATGGGGAAGATGGAAGGAACAAGGTATCACAATAGCCACTATATAGGAACAGGATATGCAAACAGCAAACACACACACACACTATCAACAGAGGGACAAGCAACACAAAATACCCAGAAGGAACAACCAAAAATGCACAATGTTGCCACAGGACAAGACACACACATTCACAAACATAGGGAGAGCCAGCATGAACAACACCACACACACACCACACACAACACACAACACACACACACCACACACAACACACAAACACACACCACACACACACACGACACACACACACACACACACACACACACACACACACACACACACACACACACACACACACACACACACACACACACACACACACACACACACACACCACACACACACACACACACACACACACACACACCAACACACCACCCACACACATCACCCAACACACACACACACACACAGTCCATTACAATGAAACCGTTGATGGGAGGCCCCTGTGTCGGGACCCTAACAGCTGTAGTGCATTAGGGGCCGACCATGTGCAGGGGCAGGGAGAGACCAGCAGTAAACAATCCCAAAGCCTGAAAACACACACACACACACACCACACACACACACACACACACACATACACATACACATACACATACACATACACAGACCACACACACACACACACACACACACACACACACACACACACACACACACACACACACATACACATACACATACACATACACATACACATACACATACACACACACACATCACCCACAGATTTTCACAAACATTCACCCAACATATTATGCAAATGCAGAGACACACACATCGGGCACAATGTGGCAAATCAGTAGTTATGGACCTGAGAGGCTTTTCTGGGGAAGAGCAAGATCACATCTAGAAAATGACATAGTTTGCATTTAAATCGGAGAGAAATGAGCATGATAGGGCTTGTTGAATATTGCTGTGTTGTGATGCTGTAAATCAAATATCTGGGACAGAGCAGCCCAAAATTTGGCAATGTTTCTTAGAATTTCAATCGTGGCCATTCAACGCAAGATAAAAACGATCAGCAATTGCGATATGAATGGCTGGTTGATATTTATGATTGATTATTCAGCCGAGATCCCAAGGAATTAGCGTCATATTGTATGTTTCGGCTGCACACAATTGGCGACCAATGCAAATGATCAGTGCCAGAGTAGGATGACGCGAGCCCTTTGTGTAGCTGAAGTGATGGATGTGTGTGTGCCACAGTTTGTGTCACAGATCAAACATTTTACCTCGCTATTTTGACACCTGTAACAACAATATGTCGACTATTTTCATCAAATTGCCATTTGCAAATATTGGTAGAAATGAATTTTTGGGCGGTTCTTTCTTGAC